ACATTTAAAAAGGAGCCTTTCGCTGGGCACGGTGGCTCATGCTTGTAATCCCAGCACTTTCGGAGGCTGAGGCAGGCAGATCACTTGAGATCAGGAGTTCCAAGACTAGCCTGGCCAACGTGGTGAAACCCTGTCTCTACTACAAATACAGAAATTAGCACGTGGTGGCAGTCACCTGTAATCCCAGCTACTCAGGAGGCTGAGGCAGGAGAATTGCTTGAACCTGGGAGGTGGAGGTTGTAGTGAGCCAAGACCAAATCACTGCAATCCAGCCTGGGCAACAGAGCGAGACTGTCTCAAAAAAAAAAAAAAAAAAAAAAAGCCTTTTGGTCCAGGCGCAGTGGCTCACACCTGTAATCCCAGCACTTTGGGAGGCTGAGGCAGGCGAATCACCTGAGGTCAGGAGTTCAAGACCAGCCTGGCCAACATGATGAAACCCCATCTCTACTAAAATACAAAAACTAGCTAGGCATGGTGGCACGCGCCTGTAATCCCAGCTACTCAGGAGACTGAGGTGGGACAACTGCTTGAACCCAGGAGGCGGGGGTTGTGGTAAACCAGGATTATGCCACCGATTGCACTCTAGCCTAGGCAACTAAGCAAGACTCCATCTCAAAAAAAAAAAAAAGCCTTTTCACACACCTGGCTGCAAAGTTACCAGTTCCAGAATACTTAGAATCAATCAAGTAAGATGACCAATACGTTCGTAAAACTCAAGGCACCAGGCTAAGTGCGTGCCATTACATGGCTATTCAATTCTTACGATTAGAGTTCTACTGATAACATTTTGGTTAGCCATCTGAGCCTAAAAAGCAGAATGGCGGCCGGGCGCGGTGGCTCACGCCTGTAATCCCAGCACTTTGGGAGGCCGAGGCGGGTGGATCACGAGGTCAAGTGATCGAGACCATCCTGGTCAACATGGTGAAACCCTGTCTTTACTAAAAATACAAAAAATCAGCTGGGCATGGTGGCGCGTGCCAGTAGTCCCAGCTACTCAGGAGGCTGAGGCAGGAGAATTGCCTGAACCCAGGAGGCGGAGGTTGCAGTGAGCCGAGATCGCGCCATTGCACTCCAGCCTGGGTAACAAGAGCGAAACTCCGTCTAAAAAAAAAAAAAAAAAAAAAAAGCAGAATGGCATAGCTAGAAATAAAACTGTGGACTTGGACTTCTGTTTGAATAGTAAAAGTTCCACTTCTTAACAAATTCGGTGAATATCCTTATCTGTAAAATGGGTATAACAGGTGCCTTGTGAGAGCGTTTGAGATGACACATGTGGAAACACTGGCGCCTGGTGTCATTTAGCAAATAGTACCTGTGGATTCCATTCAAAAGCCCAAGTGTTTTCCCTTAAGCCAGAATGCTCTTTTAAAAAGCTGGCTAATTTTAGTGCAAATTGTATATCTTGGGCTAAGGGCTCTCCATGCCTGAGAGGAAGAACAATGCAGAAAAGTAGACTCCACTCCTGGAGATTCTTACTCAGTGGGTGTGGGGTGTGGCCCATAAACATATTTTAATAAATATCCCAGCTGATTCTAGTATCAGGGATGCGCTTTGAGAAGCACCTCAACATGTTAAGAAAACCTCATTGCACAGCAGCACATTTGGGTCCCTTTTGTGAATAACAGGGCAAAGGATCCAATCACTGTCTTCCAAGAGACAGAGGTCAGCAGACTCTATACTGCTGGTTACCTAAAACTCTAGTAAGAATTCAATCTGACCAGTCTTGCCTATCCTAGGGCCCTTTGTGATGTAAACCATCTTGGTTGCTGGGGCAGTTCTTAAGATAGAAACAGATGGCAGTATTCATCTGGATTCATGGCCATGGATGAACACCTGGTGTTGGGGACAGTTAGACCAGCTGGTCAAGCCAGTGATGTGACTGACACTGGAACAGAACGGAGCGGAAGGGCCCTCTCTGATTTCATGGGCTTCTTCTGGGCTGATACTAGCTGCTCTGGAAACCCCCCACTTCATCAGGCTCAGTGCTCCCACTGCTGGCGCTGCTCCTCGCACCCAGGTATTCCTGGGTAGCCTGAGGCCACCTGCGCAGTGTCTCTCCTTTGCAATGCTTGAATAAACATGATTTCATAGCCAACCCCCTCCCCAGCCCCTTTTGTTTAGTTTCTATCATCTATGGCCTGACATGGTAGCAATTTAGCATGCCACTTTAAATTTACAGATTTAAAATGGGGTTGGCTAAATTCAGTATGGGTAATAGACAACCATTAGATATAGATTAAATTAAGACAGTATGTTTAAGTGCCAAGGTAAGATATATTAGAAAGGAGGGGAATTCACAGTTTCCTTAGAAAGTAAACTCTGGGATTACTCTATCTTGTTACTTTTGAAAGTTTCTGCTGAAAAAAGCCTTGAGCTGGCTGCCATGGCTCATGCCTGTAATCCCAGCACTTTGGGAGGCCAAGGCAGGTGGATTGCTTGAGCTCAGGTGTTTGAGAACAGCCTAAGCAACATGGTGAAACCCCATCTCCACCAAAAATACAAAAATATGAGCCAGGTGCGCTGGCATGGGCCTGTGGTCCCTGCTACTCAGGAGGCTGAGTTGCGAGGGTCACTTGAGACTGGGAGGTGGGGGTTACAGCGAACCGAAATCACGCCACTGCATCCAGCCTGGGCAACAAAGCGAGACCCTGTCTCAAAACAAATAATAGCCTATGCTAATCTTATTGAATTCCTCAGACAAGAGAAAGGGAGTGAACCTAGTTCCCATCTGGTGCTCTCTCTGACCCCCTCAAATTTCTAGCTGCAGCATTTTTAGACTGCGGTTCAGGAGCAGACTAATAAACTTACCTCTGGGTGTGATGGTCATTGCAAACATCTGATTCTCTGAGCATCTCCAGCGGCGGCTCTGGACACACATTCCTTCACTGTGCTTCCTGACATATCCCTGTCCTTCCCCACGTCAGGAGTGATGGTGGAGTATCTAGTTGGAGTGCCAAATGAGGCAGAGCACAGATCCACCTGTCATCTGAGAGCTGTAGGTATTTAGGCAACTCTTTATTGGATCTCCTCACAGTAAATTACTTCCTGGTGGAGTAAATGCAATTTACCTCTCTGACAAAGCTCAGAGTGAATGTGCCCCTGAGTTCCAGCCAGCTCCTCATCCATCTCCTAGGCAGTGTGAATAAGGAAAACTGATATTTACAGTCTAAACCCTGCATGCCACGAGCTCTGCCTGCCCAGCTGGTCCAGGAAATGAAAAGGAGGCTGCTGCCGGTTAGGTAGATGACAAGCACACCCATGGGAGCTGTGGACCATAAGCAAGGGCTCCTTACACTCCTCTGCTCTCCCGGGGCCCAAAAATTTTTACCAGACAGAATTTGAAAATAAAGTGCTTTATTGCTGAGGATCCACAGAGCTTCAAGGCGGCCGTCTAAGGGCTAGGACTGAAGTCCCCTACCTGTGGTGGCTCTGGTGAACAGAGACAGTTGAGACTTCAACATTTCAATCCCATAGAAGGCAAGGAAGTGTGGCTGGGGGCTGGGGAGGCAGGGAAGAGGTATGAGGTGTGCCCGGAGAGCGGATTATGAGCATCTCTTCCCAACTCTGCGTTCGGCGCATTCAGTGATGCTGGGAGCAGGAAACAGGCCACTGCAGAAGGACTGAAACCACAAAAGTTGCCCACAAGCAACAAATCAGGGCTTTTTTTCCCTCCCAGAGAACTGGTTTACCATCACTATAGATGTGTGACACGCTCTCCTGAGCCACTGCTAAGCTCGCCCAAGCCTGGCTACTGTGACAAGCTATCACCCCCCCCCCACTCGGGGCAGTGCCAGCTCCCAGCCCTGCACATCCCTACAAACAGCAGAACAGAGCGGCCTAAGCGAAGGAAAGGGACCAGAACTGAGCAACCAGTTCCCTGCCTGGAGTCTACTTCCCTCAGCTGGGATGGCTTTCAGCCCAAAACGAAAGTGGTGTCCAGCAGAAAGGCAGCTTGGGGCTGCAGAAACCCTCCCGTACAGTGGCTCATGGCAGGGGGTGGGGAAAGAAGGGCACGTGCACCACCCACAGATAAGGAGGGGTGGCCAGCAGGGCTGGATGCGCCCCTGGCCAAGGATGGCTGTGTGGATGATAAGAGTGGCCCTTCCTCGGCTGGCCATCAGAGTGGGGTGTGAGTGACTCACTGGAGATCCCAGGAATCGGGATGTTTCTGCAGCTGCTGGCTAACACCTATGTGCAGAGCCGGTGCAGAAGAGCCCAGCTCCCAAGGAGGAGGAAAATGAAGGGCCAGGTGGGACAGCACCTCCCAGCAGGCAGCAGCGGGAGGCGGCAGCAGACACAGGCAGGTATGCACATTTCCAGGGCTCCCAGGGACACCCACTCTGGGCCCTCCATACCCTTCAACCTTCTCACTAACCCCACTGAGACATCTGCCTCGGGGTCACAGGCAGCGGGCACGCAGCCTGGGACCAACCTTGCTGGGGGAGCCCTTCACTCACCCTTTCTGGGCAGGGGCGGGGTGAAGGCCCTACCAGGAAAGTTCTCCCCCCAAACAGCAGCAGCAGCAGCAGCGCGGGCCCTCTACCTGCAGCGTCTGCTCCGCAGCCCCGGCATTAGTACTCCTTGGCCTCCTGCAACTGTGCCAGGTACTCCTCCAACGGGGGGTTGTCGGGGCAGGCTCGGTCGTTGTTGGGGGGGCGCACGGCGTGGAGGCGGCTCCAGTCCCCCTTGCACAGGATCCAGGGCAGCATGTCCACCTTGAAGTGCAGCTGCGGTGACAACTGCGGGCTGATGAGGTTGGGCGCGCCCGCGCCCTTGCCGCGGGTCAGCAGCCGGCGGTGGTTGTCATAGCAGCAGTGCTGGGCGCCCAGCGTGCTGCTCTCCTCGGACAGCAGGGAGCGCAGGCAGTAGCGCGCCGTAGGACGGTAGATGTCCAGGCGCTCGGAATGGCCACTGGCGTCCGTCCACCGGTATCTGCGGCCCTGGCGCTGGTGGTCCCGCATGCTCACGGTGCGTTCCATGGCCCCCCGCGGGTAGACACACGGGCAGCTGGGCAGGTCCCGCTGCATCTGGCTTATGTAGTTGGTAAGGAAGTCGTTCTTGCAGGTCAGCCACTTTTCGCAGCTGTCCACATCTGCAGAGGGCAGGGAAGTGCAGGAGGGAAGCCAGTCAGAGAGCCAGCCACACCCGTGTGGGGTGGGGACTAAGGGCCAGTGCAAGGGGACAGAAGGCCCGGGCCCCAGCTGGTGCCTAGCCCCCCACTGACCTTGGCCAAACAAATCTGTAGCACTCTCGTTCAGGTGCTGCCACTCCTCACTGAGGGGGCCCAAGATGTCCTTGTCCTCGGTGTCTTTGGGAAGAAAAGAGGCCAGGCTGGTGACTCCCCAGGGCACCTCAGTGCCCCTCATGGGGAACCCCAGCCCTCACTAGGCTCTCAGTGCCCACAGCAGCCGAGAGAAGCCTGGGACAAGGCAGGACGACCATGTTTGTGAGCTTCCTGCATCCCCTCTCCCAAGCCCACCCACTTTTCCAAGGGACCAACCCTCCAGTCTAAGCCACACCAGCCACTCCTATGCGGGGGCGGGACTCATCTCACCAGAGCAGAAGGGCAGTTCACAGGTGCGGGACTCGATGAAGGTGCAGCTGTAGCCACAGGACCGAGTTCTTTGCTGTTTACCAGCGCTGCAATTCCCACTGCAGGGAGACCAGGGACTCCACTCCTCCTGAGTCTCATGATCTGGGTCAAGACAGGGAGCTGGGGGTGAGTGCACACAGCCCACAGGGCATATCAGTGCACATCAGCACAGGGCACCCTTTCCTCAGGTGGATGCAGCCCATGCCAGGGCTGCCAGCCTCGTGAATGAAACATGGGCTGGAACATGGGCTGGATTTCAGCTTTCACCTGCACTGTCAACTGGGTACCCTTCTGCAGTGAACAACCTGTGCGAAGAGACAGAACAACTCCTAGCCACTTGCTCTGTGCCAACACAGCAATGAAGAGAAAATGATACCTGGGGCTGGGAGCCATCTGACTGCTATTGGTGTGACCTTGCGCAAGTCCCCCGACATCTCTGAGCTATAGTTTTTTTTTATTTGTTTGTTGAGTCAAGGTCTTACTTACCCTTTTGTCCAGGCTGGAGTACAATAATGTGATCACGGCTCACTGCAGCCTTGACGTCCTGGGCTCAAGAAATCCTCCCACCTCAGGCTTCCTGGTAACTGGGACTACAGGCACAGGCCACTAAACCTGGCTAATATTTATTTAATTATTTATTTATTTTTGAGACAGAGTCTGGCTCTGTCTCCCAGGCTGGAGTGCAGTGGCGTGATCTTGGCTCACAGCAACCTCCACCTCCCCGGTTCAAGTGATTCTCCTGCTTCAGCCTCCCATGTAGCTGGAATTACAGGCGTGTGCCACCATGCCCAGCTAATTTTTGTATTTTTAGTACAGACAAGGTTTTACCATGTTAGCCAGGCTGGTCTTGAACTCCTGACCTCAAGTGATCTGCCCACCTTGGCCTCCCAAAGTACTGGGATTACAGGTGTGAGCCACCACATCGGGCCAATCCTGGCTAATTTTTAAATTTTTTTTGTGGACAGGGTTTCGCCATGTTGCCCAGGCTGGCCTTGAACTGCTGGGCTCAAGCAATCCGCCAGCCTCAGCCTCCAAAATGCTGGGATGAAAGCCGTGAGCCACCCACCTGGCCTGAGCTATAGTTTTTATGTCAGTCAAAACCAAGGCTGCCAATATTCCCCTTGCACTGGGCATATTTAATAATTTCCCAGCTGGGCATGTAATCCCAGCACTTCGGGAGTCTGAGGCAGGCAGATTGCTTAAACTCAGGTATCCAAGACCAGCCTGGGAAATATGGCAAAATCCCATCTCTACAAAAATTTTTAAAAAGCCACTCAGGAGCCTGAGGAAAGAGGATCGCTTGACCCAGGGAGGCTGAGGCAGCAGTGAGCTGTGATCTTGCCAATGCACTCCAGCCACGGCCGGACCAAAATCCTCAGACTGTGCAGAGCCTGAGAACCAGTGCTTTCTGTGGAACCCCCAAAATACTGACAGCTGGTTCCACACTTCACAGGCAGGCCAGTGCTGGCACCAAGAGTTTAAGGGAAATTAATGGGAGAAAAGCTGAAAAACATGAAAATTTTTCCTTTTTTTTATTTTCAGAGACAGGGTCTTGCTCTGTCGCCCAGGCTGGAGTGCAGCGGTGTGATCATGGCTCACTGCAGCCTTGACCTCCCGGGCTCAAGTGATCCTCCCACTTCAGCCTCCCAAGCATCTGGGACTTCAGGCAGGTGCCACTATGCCCAACCAATTTTTGTGTTTTTTTGTAGAGACAGGGTTTCACCATGTTGCCCAGGCTGGTCATGAACTCCTGAGCTTAAGCAGTCTACCTGCCTTGGCCTCCCAAAGTGCTGGGATTACAAGGCATGAGCCACTGTGCCCAGCCAGTCATGAAAATTTTCTGTGAGTTTACATTATTTTAGTGAATTGGAAAGAGCCTGTCACAACTTAGTCTTTTTTTTTTTTTTTTTTTTTTTTTTTTTGAGACAGAGTTTCGCTCTTGTTACCCAGGCTGGAGTGCAATGGCGCGATCTCGGCTCACCGCAACCTCTGCCTCCTGGGTTCAGGCAATTCTCCTGCCTCAGCCTCCTGAGTAGCTGGGACTACAGGCACGCGCCACCATGCCCAGCTAATTTTTTGTAGTTTTAGTAGAGACGGGGTTTCACCATGTTGACCAGGATGGTCTCGATCTCTTGACCTCGTGATCCACCCGCCTCGGCCTCCCACAGTGCTGGGATTACAGGCTTGAGCCACCGCGCCCGGCTCACAATTTAGTCTTAATTACAGGCACCTCTGTCCATCGACAAGACACCAGGGCTCCAAGGGAAATGGCCACAACTATGCATAAAACATGTCTGCACCCACAGGAAACCTAAACCACAATCTGCAAAAATAGAAATCATCATCACGGCCAGGCGAGGTGACTCACGTCTGTAATCTCCACACTTTGAGAGGCTGAGGTGGGTGGATCACTTGAGGTCAGGAATTTGAGACCAGACTGGCCAACATGGTGAAACCCCATCTCTACTAAAAATACAAAAATGTGCACATGGTGGTGCACACATGTAATCCCAGCTAATCGGGAAGCCAAGATACAAGAATCATTTGAACCCGGGAGGCGGAGGTTGCAGTTAGCCAAGATCATGCCACTGCACGCCAGCCTGGGAAACAGAGTGAGATTCCACCTCAAAAAAAAATTAGCTGAAAAAATCAAGGCCGGGCGCGGGGGCGCAAGCCTGGAATCCCGGCACTTTGGGAGGCCGAGGCGGGTGGATCACGAGGTCAAGAGATCGAGACCATCCTGGTCAACATGGTGAAACCCCGTCTCTACTAAAACTACAAAAAATTAGCTGGGCATGGTGGCGCGTGCCTGTAGTCCCAGCGACTCAGGAGGCTGAGGCAGGAGAATTGCCTGAACCCAGGAGGCGGAGGTTGCAGTAAGCCGAGATCGCGCCATTGCACTCCAGCCTGGGTAACAAGAGCGAAACTCCGTCTCAAAAAAAAAAAAAATCTGTCATCATGAGAAGCTAGTAGGCTTAAGGTAATATTTTCTGAACAGTTTGTGCTGTTATGCCTTTTTCTAACAAAAATCATAAAAATAACGAATATTTTCTTTACTCCATGCTGGCACTATGTATGTCTTAACTCAATACTCTCCACAGCCAACTCCATGTAGTAAAGGCTGTACCATTCCCCATTCTATAGAGGAAGGAACTCAGGCACAGAGAGTTGGAGAATCTTGCCCAAGTTCATTCAGCTGGTAGGCAGCAGAGCCAGGAGTCAAAGCCACATACACAATCTGAAAATAAGATCAGTCGTGAGATGTGGAATTTATAATTTCTCAATCCTTGGAAACTCACAGATGTAAATAAATATAATAGTAACAAATGTCTTTTGCTTAGGGGATATCAGGGATTTTTGTGAGCGTCAAATGTTGTTTAGAAAAAAAGAAGAGACCGGGCGCTGTGGCTCACACCTGTAATCCTAGCACTTTGGGAGGCCGAGATGGGTGGATCACCTGAGGTCAGGAGTTCAAGACCAGCCTGGCCATCACGGTGAAACCCCATCTTTATTAAAAACAAAAAACAAAACAAAAAAAAAACCGAAAAAGAAAAAAAGAAGAAAAAACAAAGGCTGGACACCGTGGCTCATGCCTGTAGTCCCAGTACTTTGGGAAGCCAAGGTGGGAGGATCTCTTGAGCCCAGGAGTTTGAGACCAGCCTGTGCAACATAGGGAGACCTTATCTCTACTAAAAAATGAAAAATAAAGAAAAAATTAGCCTACCCTGGTGGTACGCACCTGTGGTTCCAGCTATTCGGGGACTAAGGTGGGAGGATCTCTTGAGCCCAGGAGTTTGAGGCTACAGTAACCATGATCATGCCACTGCACTCCAGCCTGGGCAATAGAGCAAGACTTGATCTCAAAAAAAGGAAAAACTTTGCGAGCTATTGGCAATATTACTTTTGAGTTGACGATGGTGTTTGAAGAGGCCCTAAGCACCTGGCTTCCCCAGATGCTCCTGGCTGGGAGGGCCCCGTCCTCTCCCACACCCCCATTTCCACTCAGGACCTATAGAGGAGCAGCTGGGGGATGGCAAGACGGGGGTGCTCACCTTTGATGTTAAACTCCTTGAGGACCCAAGCCCTGGGGGACAGCCAGCCCTGGTCCCAGTTGTCTGTAGTCCCATTGAACCAGAGCTCCTCCTCTTTGTCATCGTCCTTCTCTTTGTCTTCTTGGTCCAGATCCTTAATTTCCTCTACAGAATAATCCTTGTCTTCCTCCTTTTCCTCCCGCTTCTCCTCTTGTTCCCCTGGGGCTCTGTCCTTGAGACGAGTACCCTCTTCCTCTTCTGGATCTCCCCAGAAGAAGGACCAGAAGGTGGACAGCCAGCCCTGGGGCAGGCGATTGCTGGGCTTGGCCAACAGGTCTGTCTCCACCTCTGCCTGGGTGTCCTCTGCCACCTCGATGGTCACCTGCAGGAGCAAACAGGCCAGGCTGGCTAGTGAAGGAGGTCTCAGAGCTGCATTCTAAGGAGAGCGGGGATGATGGGCCAGGGCCAGAGGCAAGGCCCATCCGTTCCTTCAAACCAACTGTCTTCTCTTGGCTGACGTTCTTGACTAACCATCCTGACCTCTGAGGGCACAAAAATCACAGCTGAAGACCACCTGGGGACTCCTGATTCCCAGACCCCAGATAGGGACTGAACTGGTCTATGGTAGTTTTAACAAGTGCCAGGGTTGACGCTCACTAGTTTAAGAGAAGCTGGCTTTGAATCCCGGCTCTGCCAGCATGCAGCTGCTGGGCCTTGGCAGCTCTGAGCTTCCAGTTCCTCATGGTAGGGCTGGAAGCCGAGTGCTCCCGACATCAAATACCCACAGCAGCCCTCAGAGGAGCTCTCTTGAACCACAATATGGATGGAAAATAAGTAAAATAAAATCATTTATGTGAAATGGAATTTCGGAAACATTATTTTTGGCTATTCAGTAAAGTAACATGAGGTTCACTAAACAAAATTTGAAAAAAACCCAGCAAATTATGAAGAAGAAAATGAAAATCGCCTATATTCTGGCAGGGCTTGGTGGCTCAGCCTGTAATCCCAGCACTTTGGGAGGTTGAGGTGGGTGGATCACAAGGTTGGGAGTTCAAGACCAGCCTGGCCAACATGGTAAAACCCCGTCTTTACTAAAAATACAAAAATTAGCCAGATATGGCGGCATACCCAGCTACTGGGGAGGTTGCAACAGGAGAATCGCTTGAACCTGGGAAGTAGAGGTTGCAATGAGCAGAGACCACGCCATTGCACTCCAGCCTGTGCAACAGAGCGAGACTCCATCTCAAAAAAAAAAAAAGAAGAAGAAAAGAAAATTCACCTATACTCTATCACTGACAGAAAAAAACCTTCCAGTTTTTTGTGTGTGTCTCTGTGTGTGTGTGTGTGTAGGTAGGTAGAAAAAAGAAGAAAGACATTTTTAAATAATTTTAGGATTGTGGTTTTTTTTTTTTTTTTGAGATGGAGTTTTGCTCTTGTTACCCAGGCTGGAGTGCAATGGCGCGATCTCGGCTCACCGCAACCTCCGCCTCCCGGGTTCAGGCAATTCTCCTGCCTCAGCCTCCTGAGTCGCTGGGATGACAGGCACGCGCCACCATGCCCAGCTAATTTTTTGTAGTTTTAGTAGAGACGGGGTTTCACCATGTTGACCAGGATGGTCTCGATCTCTTGACCTCGTGATCCACCCGCCTCGGCCTCCCAAAGTGCTGGGATTACAGGCGTGAGCCACCGCACCCGGCCAGGATTGTGTTTTATACTTTTGTGGGCTTTTTTTCCCTTCTGGCGAAAGTGTTTTGTAAACTGTAGCTGCTACACAAACCTGCAGAATTATTATCATGAGAGACTCACCCCAGGCAGTGGCGCCTGTAACTAGAATTCTGCCAGCCGCTCTCATTTCCTCTCCTACAAAGTCTTTCAGGTGGCTGTCCCCCATGCCACCAGCCCACCCCATTCTATGCTGAACCCCCTCTTTAAGGGCTGCAGGTGAGGCATGGGGTCTGGGCGGGGATCGGACCCACAGGTCTTTTCCAGGAGGCCTCCCCAGATGCCTGGAGTCCCTTGTAGCCCACAGAGCATTTCCCACTCAGTGGTGCTCACACAGCCCTGCTAGGTTGGTGCTGTTTGTCTCTTGCCATGGTCTAAAGAACAGAGACTCAAAGAGCCAAGAGATTTGCCCAAAGCCCACAACTAGAAAGTACAGGGGCAGGTACTCTGCCTGCTACACCAGAGAGTGAACATGGGGAGCCTGTCCTCTGACCCCACGCAACAGCCCCACCTTCCACGGAGTCCAAGATGCAGGCTATCCTGCGTCCACCCTCTCAGTCCCCCTTCTCTCCGGGTGTCTGAGGGGCTGCTGGCCCTTCTGAAGCTCTCACCTGGCTATCAGGGTTCGGGGTACTCAAGGCTGTGTTGGCCAATCCCGGCAGCTTCTGCAGCTCCAGAAGCAAAGAAGTAACCTCCAGGGTCATGGGAGGGGTGGCATTGCCTGGGGTTGTGGGAGGGGTGGCATTGCCTGGGGTCAGGGCTGCCAGCTCAGTGAGAGTCCAGCGTTCCTGTTGGTGAGGTTCTGCCTGCAGGTGGGTTCTGGGGAGCAGTGGTGCCTCCTCCTCTTCCTTCGGAGACCTAGGATCTGGGGAAGCTGAGGCCTGAGGGAGAGAGAGGGAAGGTGAGGTAACGGGTCACGGCTCACCCCATGGGGACCAGAAAAGGCTGGCCAGGCGGATCCAGGAGGTGCTGGCCCTTCTGAAGCTCTCACTTGGATATCAGGGTTCGGGGTACTCAAGGTTGCGTTGGCCAATCCTGGCAGCTTCTGCAGCTCCAGCAGCAAGGAACTAACCTCCAGCGCCCTGGGAGGCGTGGCATTGCCTAGGGTCAGGGCTGCTGGCTCAGTGAGAGTCCAGGGTTCCTGTTGGTGTGGCTCTGCCTGCAGGTGGGTTCTGGGGAGCAGTGGTGCCTCCTCCTCTTCCTTCGGAGACCTAGGATCTGGGGAGGCTGAGGCCTCAGGGAGAGAGTGGGAAGATGAGGTAACGGGTCACGGCTCACCGCACGGGGACCAGAAAAAGGCTGGCCAGGCGGATCCAGGAGCCCTGGGGTCTGCCCAGGTCATGAACTCACCCTGTGACTCACACCTCTCTGGAGTGTGTAAATGTAATATAAAATCTGCATACCGCCTGCTTTCAGGCCCTCAGCGGTTAAGTGAGGGTGTAGCTGATCAGACAGTGAATTATGTCCACAAAGTACTTTCACAGCGGATGCCGTAGTGAGACATGAAAAGGAGGGTCATTTCACAGGTGAAGAAGGAGGCCCAAGAAGGAAAGACAGTTGTTTTAGACAGCGGAGACCTTTGCAGACAATGTGCCTCCAACCCCTCACAGGCCAGAGCAGGAAGCCCCGAGGGATGTGCCTGGTCCTATTGGGGAGTGGGTGGGAGGCCTGGGCCTTTCCCCTCGGCCTGATCCTGTCCACTTTGCCCTGCCCAGGCCATCCATGGGAGGGCTGTGTTCCTTGGTGCCTCTGACCACAGTTACCTTCCTCCACCTGCCTGCCTGGCTGAGGCCTGGCTCTTTTTCTCTTTTTTAGACGGAGTCTTGCTCTGTTGCCCCGGCTGGAGTGCAGCGGCTCGATCTCGGCTCATTGCAACCTCTGCCTCCCAGGTTCAAGCAATTCTCCTGCCTCAGCCTCCTGAGTAGCTGGGATTACAGGCGCCCACCACCAAGCCTGGCTAATTTTTGTATTTTTAGTAGACATGGGATTTCATCATGTTGGTCAGGCTGGCCTCAAACATCTAACCTCGTGATCCGCCCACCTGAGCATCCCAAAGTGCTAGGATTACAGGCATGAGCCACCATGCCTGGCTTTTTTTTTTTTATTTGAGACAGAGTTTCTTTCTTGTTGCCCGGTCTAGAGTACAATGGCACAATCTCGGCTCACTGCAACCTCCGCCTCCTATACTCAACCAATTCTCCTGCCTCAGCCTCCCAAGTAGCTGGGACTACAGGCATGCGCCACCACGCCTGGCTAATTTTGATATTTAGTAGAGACAGGGTTTCTCCATGTTGGTCAGGCTGGTCTTGAACTCCCAACCTCAGGTGAACCTGCCCGCCTTGGCCTCCCAAAGAGCAGGGATTACAGGCGTGATCCACCGTGCCCAGCCATCTCCTTTTTCTACTCCAGGCTGCTGGCATGGCTGACTCAGCCAGTTCATCCCTTCCAACAGCCACTGGCCATATTGTCCTCACCGGGACAGTCCTGGCTTCAGATCAGATGGTAAGTGAAAGGCAGACCCGCGTCATCTCTGACTCCTGCTCCAGCATCCTTCAGACAGTGGGGCACCAGGGGCTCAGTGGCCACCACCTGCCTCCAGGCTGCACCGGGTCTCTATGCCAGGACAGGAGCACCTCCCAGAGCCACTTTATGAGTCTCAGGAGCCTGACACCTGTGGACCCTGTTTCACCCAGGCCACAGCCTTGCCAGGCCTCTCGTCTCATACCTGGGCAGCATGGTATGGCTGACAAACACTGCTTCTGAGAGGCAGAGAAGTTTGGGTTCAAATCCCAGCTCTAGCTCTTACTAACTTCTTCAACTTGACAATGTCCTCATCTGCAGATTGAGGATAATCATTCTTCCCTGCAAGGACTGTGAGAATTTATTTATCAGACATATCCACAGTATTTACTGTGCACCAGGCACTATTCTAAACACTTCATCATTCATTTCATCCTCCCTGTCTTACAATGGAAACTAAGGCACAGAGAGGGCAAGTAACCTACCAGAGGTTGCACAGACATTTAGCAATAAAGTCAGGATTTAAACCAGGCAGTCTGGGACTGGAGCCCATGCTCTTAACCTGCGTGCTATACAGTGATAGTATAGAGTCCCCTTCAAAAACCAGGGGCTGGGCCAGACCCAGTGGCTCATGTCTGTAATCCCAGCACTTTGGGAGGCTGAGGTGGGCAGATCATGAGGTCAGGAGTTTGAGACCAGCCTGACCAACATGGTGAAACCCCCGTCTCTACTAAAACTACAAAAATTAGCCAGGCATGATGGTGCACACCTGTAATTCCAGCTGCTCAGGAGGCTGAGGCAGGAGGATCGCTCGAACCCAGGAAGCAGAGGTTGTGGTAAGCCAAGATCACACCACTGCACTCCAGCCTGGGCGACAGAGTGAGACACTGTCTCAAGTCGTTCTGACGGTTTAGTTTTCAGGGGGCTTAATCAGCCTCGTTTGTCACTCTCAAACTATTTTTTCTCTTTATTTTTTTGTTTTTGTTTTTTGGTTTTTTTTTTTATTTTTGAATATTTTTTCTCGAAAGGTTGAGAAGAGATTCACAACCTTCTGTCTCTCTCTTTTTGACATCCCCATCTGCGGTGTCCAAACATCTGGCTCCAAGGCGCTGGCACTAAATGCCTGGTCCCAGGGCAGCCATGGGCCCATCTCGGCCCCAGCCTGGAGTCTCTTGCTGAGTCAAAGCACTCTAGTCTAGACAGCAGGGTGGATGAGTGGAAGGTGGAAGGATGAGTAGTGGAACAACTCAGCCCCTTCACTGATCAGTGTGGGAGGCCTGGGCATCCCCAAGTGCTGCCTTCCTGGCAGCTCCCACCCACAATTCCACCAAGGCTCTAACTGTGCCTGTGACTTTGCTTGGCATTTCCACTGTCTGCAGTCTCTGGGGCATAGACAGGCGGTCTCAGAGCAGCAGGTATTCAGGGTTGTGCGGGCTTTTGGCTGATCGGGACACCCTAGCCTGGCGATGGCTGGGCCTGCCTGTGGCAGGTGATACAATGGTTTTGCAGCGGTTCTTATCTGGGGGCATTTGGCACTGTCTGGAGATATTTGTGGTTGTCACAGCTAGAGGGGGTTTCTACTAGCATCTAGTAGGCACAGGCCAGGAATGTTGCTACATAGCCTGCAGTGCACAGCGTCACCCACAAGAATCATCCAGCCCAAATGTGAATAAGTGCTGTAGTTAAGAAAGTGTGCTAGTCTAGGCCAGGCATGGTGGCTCACTCCTGTAATCCTACCACTTTGGGAGGCTGAGGCGGGTGGATCACTTGAGGTCCGGAATTCTAGACCAGCCTGGCCAACATGGTAAAACCCCATCTCTATTAAAAATACAAAATAGCCGGGCGCGGTGGCTCAAGCCTGTAATCCCAGCACTTTGGGAGGCTGAGGTGGGTGGATCACGAGGTCAAGAGATCGAGACCATCCTGGTCAACACGGTGAAACCCCGTCTCTACTAAAAATACAAAAAATTAGCTGGGCATGGTGGTGCGTGCCTGTAATCCCAGCTACTCAGGAGGCTGAGGCAGGAGAATTGCCTGAACCCAGGAGGCGGAGGTTGCGGTGAGCCGAGACCGCGCCATTGCACTCCAGCCTGGGTAACAAGAGCGAAACTCCGTCCCATAAAAAAAAAAATAAAATAAAATAATTAGCTGGGCGTGGTGGCAGGTGCCTGTAGCCCCAGCTACTCAGGAGGATGAGGCAGGAGAATTGCTTGAACCTGGGAGGCAGTGGTTGCAGTGAGCCACTGCACTCCAGCCTGCGCTGCAGAGTGAGACCCTATCTTTATTAAAAAAAAAAAAAAAAAAAGTCCGGGC